TTTGGGGGTTCCTCCTTCCAGGAAACATTTGTTCATTTCTCCTTCCACTGGAGGGGAAATGAAGCCCCTTGCCCCACTTTATATCTTCTTGCTTGGAATCTAATAGCTTCACAGCAGAATGGTCCTTTCTCCCACCCTGGAGGGTGGGGTAAAGGTCCTATTTGTAGGCTTGTCTGCCCCTCGGAGGAGGGGCCTCCTCCCCAGATCCCAGCCCTTGCGTCATTTGTGTGGGTGTCAGGGGAGCAATGGATGTCTTTGGTGTTGGCAGTGGGGTGTGGCAGGAAGGGGCAACTTCATCAGACACCTAAGCATCCCTTTCATCTTGGGAAGGGGCACCTGTCCATCTAGCATGGTCCTGGCCCTAGACACTTGGCTGGCATCTTTGAGGCTTCAGTCCTAGGAATGGAGGGGAGAGCTGCTTTGGTGGGAAGAATCCTCCTCCCACTAACCCTAACCTGGTTTGTTCTCTGGGGAATGAGTGTGTTTTTTGTGGGTCTAGGGCTACTCTGGAAATGAATTCCTTCCCTCCCAACCCAGCAGTGTCCTTTTGTTACCCTGTGTTCACGTGGGGATAGGAGCAGGTACTGGGCTGTCCCTTCCCTATGAGGCGCACTATGAGAACCCTGGAGTCCTGGCAGCTTGCTCCCCTCCTCTCCTCACTGCCCCCTGTTTGGGTTCAGGCTCCTCTGGCAGGGAGGGGCTCTGTCCACTGTGGGAACTGAGTGCCTGGGGTGCACTTCTGGGTGTGTTTATACCCAGCTGTGCCTGTAGTGTACTTGGGTGGGAAGGAGCTGGCCCTCTACTGGGGGTGTTATTGTTACATGGCTGGGGTTTCTTCCTACCCCCCTCAGGGCTCAACTCTTCCCAGGAGCTTCTCCCACTCTCCCAGACCTGCTGCCTCCCTCCTGCCTGCTAGAGAGAAGGGGTGGAGTGGGTCTCTGGGGGCCTGGCAGATTGGAGAGGGTTGAAGGGCAACCCCCAGCCCCTTTGCTCTAGGAGGAGAGACTGAGAGACACCTACCTGTGCCCCTCCCAGGGCCACCTTAGCTCCTGCCTGTGCTTTTGTCCTGCCCCCTGACCTTTGCCTCAGGGCTGACGGCTGGGAGGCTGCAAGCTGTAGACTGTGGAAGGCACAGGGTGTGAGTGTGGGTTGACTTTGGCAAAAAGGGAGAGGCATGAGGTATGACCCTTCCATCCTCCCAGAGCTGGAGGAAAGGTGTGCCCCCAAGTGGATAATTGGGACAGGGCTGCTAGGGCCCCCCTCTACACGACCTGGGGGTGAAGCAAGGATGGGAGACCGTGGGCTCCAGTCCTGTCTCTTCCTTTGCCCTTGGGGGCAGCCCTGCTCATCAACTGAAAGGGAAGGAAGAAGATCATGGAGTCTAGCAGGTGGAGGATTTGGTGAGGCAGGTGTTGGGAAGTGGAAGTCTGTCCCCCACACCCTTTCTGGGGTGGGGTAGAGCTCCAGGCCTGGACCCCTGGTCCAGCACTCCATGTAGGTGTGTGCATACTGCAGTGGGGTGTCAGTGGGCTCAGCCCCTAAGGCTGTGGGCTGGGGGAGGGGTGTTCTGAGGCCCTGGAAGGACTTGGAGGCTGGAGGTGGCAACTAGACCCTGTCTAGAGTTCATGAGGTCACTATCACTGCCTTAGAAGGACCACTTGGTATTTGTGGAGGTCCTCTGCTGACAGAAGCCCCCTCACAGGAGTTCTCTACTCCAGCCTGCCTCCTCCACCAAAGGTGGGAAGAGACAGCAGGACGGCTGTGGGCGGAGACCATCTCGTCCTGCAGGGCCCTGGGGACATTGCCTCCTCCAGAGCCCCCATTTGGGGGCACTAGAGGACAAGGGGTACACAGGATGTGGTTCCCCGTCTGTCCCCCACCAATCTCCGCTGCTCACGCCTCCGCCCGCTCCCAGACGTCCAAGAATGTGAAGCACGTGGCCCCCGTAGTTGGGGGAGGGGGATAGATGCTTATCGGCAGCCGCTGGGCCAGGGGGCCTTCTTCCGCCGTGCTGCGCCCGAGCCACCCCCACCCTCCCCCGGGAGGAGGAAGGGCGGTACCAAGAGCCCTGCGCCCCCTTCCCAGCCCTCCCCAGGGGCTGCAAGGGGAGCTGCGGAGGAGCGGGCGCCAGCTGGATTGGGAGGGGAGCCGCTGGCCAGGGGCCCGGCTGATTTCCTGCCGATCTCCTCCAGGAAACCGGCCCCTTGTGCGAGCCTGCGAACGGCTCTGGGGCGTGGGGAATCCGGAGCGCTCTGCGCCTCCTGCGCGCCCGGAGGGGAGCGGGGGAAGGGCACCCTGGCAGCGCGGGCCGTTGGGAGGGGACCCCGGCTTTCCCTGGGCCGCTGCCAGCCCAGCGCTGGTCTCTGGAACTTTGAGCTGAGAAGGTGTGGTGCTGCTCCAGCTTAGTCCTTCTGCAGGAAGAGGAGAGATTTGTGGGCTGGGGCCTCTGGGGAAGGCGGTGAGCGGGGAGGGGCCAGGCCATGGCAGTCCTTCCCCCCTGGATTGTGTGGGCAGAGTTAAAGCTGTGTCCTTAACTCTTGCAGAGGCCTTGAGGGTCCCAGAGTGCCCCTCACCTTCCCAGGCTGCTGACTGGAGGCCTGAGGAGGTGGGAGTCACAGGGGACTGGGCCAGGGCTCTGAGTTCAAAGGGCACACTGGGAAACAAGCCCAGCTCTGTGACCTGGGCGGCAGGTGGGGATGTGCTTGCTGGAAGTAGAGTATAAACTGTAATACAGCTTCAGAGGCACCCAGCTGCTGTCTGGTAGGTGGAAAGGACTCACCCGGCCCAAACTGTAGCCCCCACCTCAGCTCATCTCGCCCCCATCCTACCAAACATTTTTTTAAAAGCACATTCTTTCAGTTCCATAAACACCCTCTGGACTTGGCCTGAGCTCCAAATTTCTACCCGTCTTTGCCCTGCTCGTCTGTCTCTGGCTTTAGAGCTGTCTGTCCATCATCCTGGAATCATCCTGTGTGTCTCCCCATGCCCCGCTCCCCTCCCTCCACCCTACTCTGTACCTCAAAGCTCTCCCTCTTCTTTCTCCACCTCCAGCCTGGGCCGTTTTAGAGGTGGGCCTTGGGGAGGCCAGCCCAGGGCAAAGGACTGATGGGGGGAGGAGAGGACATGAGTGCCCCCATCCTCTGCTTGTTGGAACGCTGACTGGGATTCTAGGCCACGGCCCCCCCACACCTCCTTGTCCTTGACACCCCCACCCACCCATCAGTCTGGATTGTCTATTGTTACTCCTTTAACGTCTTGGAAAAAGTTAGCACAACAAAGGGCTCCTTTGTCACTCGCTCACCCCTCTGCCTCCTGGCCTCACCCAGGCCCCCCAACCCTGCCCCCCCCAGCAGCTGTTCTCAGGCCTCTCGCCTGTCTGATTTGCTTGTCTGGCCTCTGGGAGAGTGAGGTGGGGGAAAACCAGGCCAGGGCAGTTCGGTGTTGGGGTAAGGAGCAGAGGGCTGGGGGGTGGGGTCAGTGAAGAGCCTGTGGACTGGTGGGGTGTGGGCATCCACTGTGTGTTTGCGGTGGGCTGGTCTCTGTACAGGCAAGGGGAAGTGGGGTCATAGCAGTGCTGCTCAGCCAGGCTGACCAGGGAAGTGGTGCCCAGGCACTACTAAGAGCCAGGAAAGCCCTGCCAAGGTTGTTGGCCTAGTTCCCGGTCCCAACCGCCTGGCATTCCCTGGTGTGTCTGCAGGTAAGGGGGGAGGGCAGTAGCGCCGCAGCCAGCCCTCACTGTCCAGGTGCTTCTTTTCTCTCTGCCTGGACTTTGGGGCCATGTGACTCATGGCTATAAGGTGCTTGGGCCTGAAGCTCTGGGCTCCTTTGAATGCCAAATCGCGTGTGTTGGAGTTTGGGGTGAGAATAGGTAGGATTCTGGGGTGTGGGAGGAGGGAGGGATCTACCTACCTGGGAGGCACCCTTGACTCTCCTTGGCTTTGGACAAGTGGACTTAGCAAGGGCCTCAGGAAGATGCTGGGTGGCTCCTTGGGAATCTGGGCTTGCCTTGGGCACAGTTCTCCATCTAGCACAGTTCACCCCAGCAGCCCAGGCTTTGGGCACAGACAGCCCCCACCCAGCCCAGCCCTGTTCTGCCTGGGGTGATGGGCATGGGGCCAGGCACTGGGGAGGGTTTGGCTAATGGGGGCTGCCCTGCTGGTTGGGTCACCCCGCCTCGCTGCCCTCTTGGAGCTGAATAACAGGAGGGGAGGGGGATAGTAACCCGGACATAGTATTGAGGCCAGACAGACTGAGCATTGATGGGAACAGACCCCCTTTGTCACGCTGCTCCCCCCAGACTGGGTACCCAGAGCAAGGGGCTTCCGGGGCCCATAGGGACTCTTCTTGTCTTGGGGGGGGTGTCCCTCTGCTTATCAGGGAGTCCCCGCCTGCTTTGCTCAACATTTGTAGCTCTTCTTTGCACACCCTGCCTTGAGTCCCCAGCCAGGGGATTGTTTGGGTGTAGGAGGGGCTGTGGCTGCAAGCAGAGAGGGGAGGGGGAAGCGGAAGCTGAGGGGGTGGGGGAGTGGCCGGCTTTGAATATCCTGTTGACCCCAGTTTCCTCTGCCCCCAGCTTGTGTCCTCTTCCCTTCCTCCTCATAAGCCTTAACGCCTTCCTAACTTGGGGGGTGGGGTCGGGCCAGGCTGCCCAGGGGCTCGGGCTTTATAGCACTGGGCTGACTCCCACCCCTACCTACCAGGCATAGCCATGTCCACATACAGAGCTCATGGTTTATCATCTGATCTTTCTGGGTTTAAAGGTGGGGTCCTGGGGAAGTAGATAGGAGTGATGGGGTATTGATGGCTTCATGGGCAGCCTCATTCTGCAAGTCTGAGGAGTCCCAGCTTTCCTGAGACTGTGCTTGGCCCCGAGTTTGAATCCTGGCAGCTGTGGTGAGGCTGGAAGAGGCTCCTGGAAGAGATCATGTGGGGGGGGGGGGGGGGCACGGTATTAAGGATGGTGACCTGGGTCTCTAACCACCCCTCCCTCTTCTCTCTAGCCATTGAGACCCAGAGCAGCAGTTCGGAAGAGATAGTGCCCAGCCCTCCCTCGCCGCCTCCCCTCCCCCGCATCTACAAGCCTTGCTTTGTCTGTCAAGACAAATCCTCAGGCTACCACTATGGGGTCAGCGCCTGTGAGGGCTGCAAGGTGAGTTGGGTCATTGGGAAGGACAGTCCTGATTAGATAAATGGGATGTCCCCACTGCCATGTCCTGGTAGTCTGCTGTTGGGGGTGGGGGATGTCCCTGAAGCTGCCGTGCTTGTTTCTATGCAGAAGGTGGCAGAAGAGGAAGCCCACAGTAGAAACCTGCCCCCCCATAGATGAGCAGGGGTTCCCCAAACGAGAGGTCCTCTCCTGCCTAAGCTCCTTTCCCTGCCTTCATCCTCCAGCTGGCAGGGCATAGGCCTACTCTGCCACCGCTGCCCAGGTTGCCATGGTGAGCTGGCTCCTGACTGGCTCTTGGCTTGGGACCCAAGAGGCCTGCCCCCAATGGCCCTGCCTGAACCTCGCCATGGCAGTCTGGCAGGAGGCAGTTAGGAGCAGGCGCCTTGCCTTGGCCTCTCCTTCAGGTGCCCAGGCTGTGGCCTCCCCAGTGACTGGCTGGATTTCCCTGTGCCCGTGTTAGGCTCCAGGGTGCAGATGTGGTTGCCACCTTCCAAGCAGCTGTGGGCATAGCCTCCCTAGCCTCCCTGTCTCCTAAGGCCTGAGCCTCTGTACCAGTTTCTTCCCCAGAGATTGGGGCTCAGAAGCTGTACAGCTTCGGGGCTTGGAGTTCCAGGCTGCCCCTCAGCCTGGGGTAGCTGTTCCCCAGGTGTGGGGCCAAGATCAAGGGCAAAGCAAAAGGCCTCAGACTGTGTGTGTCTGGTTGTTCCGGCCTGTCCCTGATCTGTCTTTCTCTCTGGTTAGCCTGTGTGTGGAGCCTCTGACAAGTCTGGGTCTACCTGTGATCAGTCTGTGCACATCTCCCTGGTTGGCGAGCATGTCTTGTTGATTGTTCCTGAGAGTGTGTGTGTGTCCCTCCGTGGCCTCTTTCTGCTTGCCTTCTGAGCCCAGGGCTCTGCCTCCCTCCCATCTAGGCCCATCTCCCCCTCTTCCTGACTCACTGGCAGCCCTGATGTCCTTTTTCCAAGGACGGAGGAAGCAGTGTCTGTGGGCATGTGTTGGGGAAGACCCCCCCCCACCTGCAGTATAGAAGCAGGTATTGGGGTTCTGGGGGGTGTCCTTGTAGGTGGGCCATTCTCTCATCTTACCTGGCTTGCTCAGGTAGGTGATGGTCAAAGGCTTGGGGGCAGCAGTGGCCTGGACCTCTGTCCCACTGGCTGAGGCTGCAGGCTGGGTGTGGCTGACCTGACTCCTTCTCCTCCATGCCCAGGGCTTCTTCCGCCGCAGCATCCAGAAGAACATGGTGTACACGTGTCACCGGGACAAGAACTGCATCATCAACAAGGTGACCCGCAACCGCTGCCAGTACTGCCGGCTGCAGAAGTGCTTCGAAGTGGGCATGTCCAAGGAGTGTGAGTGCCAGGGGCCACTGGCCGGGCCACACACTAGGCAGGGCCTGAGGTGTTCCTAAAGGCCAGGGGAGCAGGGGTGTATGGATGTGTGTGTATGGACATGACCTTGCACAGCTGTGGTACGGTGTGCGGGCTCATGGTTAAGGGCAGTTTGTGGATAGCTGAAAGACCTTTCCGTCCGTCTGTGCATCTAGCCGGCTGTGTGTCCATATGCAGGCAGCCATTCCCTGTTTGCACGTGGCTGGCTGTGTGTGCTTGTACACGTGTGCACGTGTGTCTGCTCCAGGCTGGCTTGCTTCCAGACCCTCCTTGGCTTTGGTGCAGGGCTCAGAAGCATCCCAGAGTCCCTGTGGATTGTGCATCTTAGAGGAGGGCCTGCACTGAGGGGTGCTGGTTGGTGTGTGTGTGTGTGTGTGTGTGTGTGTTGGGGGGGAGGGTGCGGCTGGCACAGGGATCTGAAAGCCATTGTCTGGTGAAGCCGGGGCCCTGGAGTTGGAAGAGAGAATTGGGATTTCTCAGATCCCAGAGGGATGGGGCTTTCTAGTTTGGGCTCAGCTGAGGCCTGATGGAGGGAGGAAGGGAGGGCTGGACAGGGAGACCCTCTTGTGTTGAATCATGAGTGTTGCCGTGGTGACCGGTGATTGATGATGTCAGAGATAAATGACGCTGACAGACGCCTCCTTGTCTGCGTGGCCGTTGCCATGGAGCCTGAGCCTTGGGGGATGGGGTGGGGGAGGGGGCTGCAGGACCCCCTAGCCTTTTGTAGGGAGGGCAGTAGAAGAGGGAAATGGGGAGGGGATCTGGGGGGACCAAGGAGGACCAAGGAGCCCCAGATAGGAGTGGAGGGGACCTGCATCACCCTGCCATCTTTGCCACAGGAGGCAGGGGCTGCCTTGTCAGGATCCCAGGAAGTGGCGGCTCCGTGCTGCAGAGTGGGTGACAACTTGGTACCTTTAGGGCCCAGCGTCTCCTCCTCCCTTTGCTTCGTCCACCTTCAGCTCCCAGAGCTTTTCAGTGCAGAAGGACCAGGGTGGGGACCCCTTCTCCCTCCCACCGCCATCTCCCCCTTTCCCTCCCTCCTTCTCTCTCCGGCTGCTCTGTGCCCCGGAGCTGAGCAGCTGCCATTTCAATAGAATTAAAGCTTCCGAATGATAAACGTCTTGTCACAGCTGCAATTTTCTCTTCCCAAATTATCCCCCCACTCTCCCTCTCCCTCTCCCTCCTCTCCCTTGCACTTTATTGAATTTGCAGAATCGACATGAGTGATCTCCAAATTATGCCAGCTCCCCCCCCACACCCGCTGCCCCCCCCA